GCTCCTAGGCGCGATGGGGCATCGCCGGGGCACAACCGACCTTCTCTGTAAGGGTTAGAAGCAGGCCGGCGGACCTAGAACAGTGGGCTTGAATGGGCGAAGCGTGTGTGTGAGTAGTAGCAGGAACCACGTACGTACCGAAGCTCCGAATGCACAGTTCTGGCGATCTGCGACCTCTGAAGTGGAATGTGCTGCGCAGTCAGCGATCCTTAGATCTCAGCCGGCAATCAACATCGGTGACAATTGGCTGAACGCGGACCCTTCTAGTGTCTAGCCTTGTGATCGTGAACGAATTGCGCATCCCTCGTCGCGCCAGTGAGTCTTAAGATCTGACCTAATCCCAAAAGGGTGAGCTATTTCCGAAACCCGAAATCTCCGCGACAAGATTTTTTCCTGATTTGGTGGGAGTTGAGAGGAATTGCGAAAGTCTCTCCCAGTCTCAGCGAAATCACTAAGCTCTCGCTAAGCCGGTTCCATGGTTGCACCTGAATGGTGCTCGCCACGAGGATGAGCAGATCGGATCCACCCCTCAACCCCCTTATCTTAGCCTCCTTGAAATAAGAAGTCGATTCGCTGAACCGAACGGAGACGAGAAGAACTTTAAAAGGTCAATCGGGATACGGCGAGGAGCCCAGAAGGCTGGAACTCGTATAACAGAAGCTCATCGAATAACCGCAGAAGCACGATTTCTCGGCCGTAGCGCATCGCCGCATTTGTTGTGACTTGTACTAACTGCTGGTGCCGGTCTAAACAGCAGGCAAGTTTCAAGACAAGCCAGCGTTGATCTGCGACGAATTGGAATACGGATGGCTGATTTCTAACGCATGACGCATGGTCTCTGTCTGCTGTTCAGTGGGCATTAGATAAATGCTGGAATGCCTCCGATTTTGTATCGAGACCTATCTCGTATGCCGTTAGTCTTGAAGACTGCAGCACTAGAAGGATCAAAGAGACCCAGTCGGGACCACTGTCGCGACGACTACCGATTGTCACTCGCCCAGAAGAAGCTTCCGGCAAAAGCAACCGATTTGATTTCAGAAATCCAAAATAGAACGACGAATTGAACCGAAGCCAAGGAGCAGCCTCTGCGCCAGCCATGACGTTGGTGCGAATTCGATCGAGTGCCGGCTATTGGTGGCGAGGGGCTAAGAGTTTGGAGAGTGATCTCATCGATCAAACAATACTAGAAAGCCTTGCAGTTGCATTGATAGCAACTGCATAGCAACCGTTTAGGCTGCATCGTGGGGAGACCTGGTAGAGCAGTAACAGGATAGTCTTGTCCGGATTTCGATCGATTTTGCACAGGTCTCTCCATCTTGTCCACCGCTAGATGCGCTACTGCGCCATTGGAGAAATCCATAACAGCCTTGTCTCAAGCATGAAAGCATGCAGAGCTACGCAGCCTACGACTGCGTACATGTCACGTCCCGGAGAACCTCCATTGCATCGTTGTTACGTTCCCTGCTTCCATCGTAATCCAACAATCCATAATTCCTTGGAACCGTAGGACTGGGTGTCCAATTTATGAAGCTGGAGCAGAACGTAGGGAATGTTTGTATCACACCCTGATCAGCACGAGAAGGTCCAGAAGCCATGCATTATAACCGTGGGCATGGTGATTGCTTTCTATCTATTGTACGTCTTCGAGCGCCTTGTCCTAGATTCCTTCGTGCGCTTCGTGGCTCAAGTGAGGGGTGTCAGGTGTGAGATGTACGTCGTAGACATCGACTAATCTGCTGGGTGATGCAAGCTCATCGGACCGAATTTGGAGACAAGACAATGCAGACCAGGCCATGACGACAATAATAACAGGCGACCGCTATAGACCGGGGTGTGTCAGCTCGCTATCAGGCCGTTGTCTCGTGGGGGGGGGCTACGCAGGGACTCGAAATGACGAAAGAAGACCATGGAAGAGATGGTCATCGTCGGAGAATATGTGTACATGAGTGTGTGTTCGTGTGTGTTCTAACTTGATCGATTCTTCAGAAGATAACAAGAGCGCTGATTGTTGTGATGTTGCGAAAAGGCGGGCGACAGAAAGGCGGGGAGTGACAACTGTACTTACCGGATCTGGCCAATTGGGATGTTGTTATGCTTCTGCTCTCCGCCTTCAGTTCATTCATCAATTATTCACAACGCACTTGTCTCTATTCTCAACGACAAACACCCACACTAATGCAAGATTAACTTCTGGCTTCTCTTTACGGCGCTCAGCGATATCAGCCCATGGATCCGAGCTACAAAGCCCGTAAGGAGGCTTTTGTGTCTAACCTAGCCGGTGGGAGTATCCTCGAGATTAATGCGGTGACCTTGGTAGCTCCGGTATGTTGTTGTGTCCACTTGTCCAGTATCTGAAAGGCGCCACAGTGTGTACTATTCTTCGAACTCAACCTGCCTCATCTCATCCCGTCTCGTCTCGTCTCTTCTCTTCTGATTCGTGATATCTTCTAGGCCGCCATCCTTCTTTGGTCCCTCCTCCAATCCCGTCTTTCCTTCTTCTCTCCATACACCTCCGCGGCGCTGGTCACCGATTTCCTACTCAATATCCTTGCGATTCTCTTTGCAACCACCGTGTATTCTGCAGCACCATGGACTCTGAACGCTCTTCTCCTCGCCCCGGCTCTACTGCTGCTGCTTAATTCACGACCCCAACCCGCTCAAAAAAAGGCCAAGCCTCCGCCGCATGCTTCGATGGCGAAAAAAAGTGAATCCGAGCCCGACCAGTCCCTTCCAATTCTCCCTTATCTGACAACCTATCGGGCATGTATGATGGTCATCACCTGTGCTGCCATCCTGGCCGTGGACTTCCGTGTATTCCCCAGGCGATTTGCCAAAGTCGAAAATTGGGGAACCTCGCTCATGGATCTGGGAGTCGGGTCGTTTGTGTTCTCTGGAGGGGTGGTTTCGGCTCGCTCAGTTCTCAAGAGTCGTCAAATTGGAGGCCCGAAGAAGCCCCTGGGTCAGCGACTGGTGGCCTCGACCCGCCACTCCATCCCTCTGCTCGCCTTGGGCCTGATCCGACTGTACAGTGTCAAAGGTCTCGACTATGCTGAGCATGTGACAGAATATGGCGTGCATTGGAACTTCTTTTTCACGCTGGGTTTCTTGCCTCCCTTCGTTGAGATCTTTGACAGCCTCGCTACGCTGGTCCCATCCTACGAGCTCTTGTCCCTTGGGGTTGCGGTTTTGTATCAGGTGGCTCTGGAATCCACTGACCTGAAGAGCTATATACTGGTCGCTCCCCGGGGACCCGACTTGCTCTCCAAGAATCGGGAAGGGGTGTTCTCATTCGTAGGGTACTTCGCGATCTTCCTGGCTGGCCGGGCCATTGGCATCAGGATCATGCCGCGCGGAACATCACCGTCCACCACCCCGCAACAGGCCCGGAAACGTGTGCTAGCTACCTTGGGGGGCCAGGCTCTGGTCTGGACCGGGATCTTCCTGCTCAACTCGACGTATGCGCTGGGCTACGGCGCAAATCTTCCGGTGTCGCGGCGCCTTGCCAACATGCCATACGTAGTGTGGGTGGCGGCTTTCAACAACGCCCAGCTTTTCGTGTTCTGTCTCCTGGAGACGATCTTCTTCCCATCCGTCCATCGGGCGTTGGGAAGAGAGGGCGAAGCGGAGCGGGTCTCCTTTGCAACCAGCCCGATCCTTTCGGCCTTCAACAAGGGTGGACTGGCGGTATTCTTGGTGGCCAACCTTCTCACCGGCGCGGTGAATCTGAGCGTTTCCACCTTGGACCTCAATACCACTCAAGCCATGGCCATCTTGATCGGGTATCTCGCAGTCCTGACGGGGGTTGCACTGGGGCTGGACCGGGCTGGAATCAAATTGGCACTCTGATGCGCCAGAACGTGCAAATATTGTATTAGATGACGAGTGTATATTGAGCAGACAAAATTAGAGTGTTGCTTCTCACTAATCCACCAGAGAAATGGATAATGGTAGATTGTCAATGGGAAAGATCGTTACATCCACTGCAGAGTGTGTTAGATGATTAGCATTGAAGCACATGGTGAGCCGCGGCTCCGCAGACAAAGGAGAAGAGGAGCTCATGTGGGGATTGAGCGGAGCCACTAACTTACGGACTGTGCTATACGTACTTCCTTCCACCCACCATCTTGTTCACTTTCTCTTTCTCTTCGTCACCCTCATTTCCGCACTCTCCAACCCTCGATCGAATGTGCCACTGAATCCCCGCGCATCATGAGCGCAAAGCCTCAATTCCTCCAATATCCGGAAGTCCGCGAGGGCCCATCCGTCCCCTACAAAAATGAAGACCAAGTGATCCCCGTCTTCCGAGGCATGCCTCTGGCGATCGGAGCGAGCCTGTAAGCTAAGCTACAACTGTTTTCCTTTCCTTATCATGCTGCCACCGAGTCACTTCCAGCCTGCCTTCAGCCTGCCTTCAGCCTCCTTCAGCCTGCCTTCAGCCTCCTTCCCTTGCCCCGGCGCGCGCCTTCAAAAGACAAGAATAAGACAAAAAAAACTAAACCACCCCCAAAATCGTGCAGAATCCAGCACGTCGGCGTCATCCAGAACTACTTCTGGCGCAACGCCGGCTTCAACGTCATCCGCGACCTCCCTCTCGACGACTACGCCCCGCGCTACGACCCCACCGTGATCCCGGTCCTCGACCGCGCGACTCCATCGTCAGCGTCAACGACGACGACGGCCGCAACACTGCCCGCGCCAACCCAGAAACGGAAAGACCACCCGGGGTACTACACCTCCGCCGACTATGTGGCTCTATACCAGTCGGGGAAATTGACGCCCTCGGCCGTGGTCGAGGCCCTGCTGCCGCTGATCCAGCGCGATGCGGACCCCGCAGGGGAACCAAAGGACGGCAGCCGCAAACACCAACACTCGGTCGCGTTTCTGGAGTCGCAGGCCGAGCGGGTTCGCGCGGCCGCGGCGGCGTCGACGCAGCGGTACAGGGCGGGCCGGCCGCTGGGGCCGATGGACGGCGTGCCCGTGGCCGTCAAGGACGAGGTGCACCTGGAGGGATACCGGCGGACGCTGGGCAGCAAGATCGACTTCAAGGGCAAGTATCAGGGGACATCATGGTGCGCGAAGCAATGGGAAGAAGCGGGGGCGATCATCATCGGGAAGACGAGCATGCATGAGCTGGGGCTAGGTGATTCCTCCCCTTTCCCCCCTCCAACAAGAGATTTGAGGAGTTCTGACAAGAAAACCTACCTCACCCCTCCAGATACGAACAACAACAACCCCAACTACGGGACCCCGCGCAACCCGCACAACCCGGACTACTACTGCGGCGGCTCGTCCGGCGGCTCGGGCTACGCCGTCAGCGCCGGGCTGGTGCCCATCGCGCTGGGCGCCGACGGCGGCGGGTCGATCCGGATCCCATCCTCCTTCTGCGGAATCTGGGGACTGAAGGCCACGCACGGCCGCATCAGCGGCGCGCCGACGGTCTCGCTGGCGCCGACGGTGGGCGTGTACGGCCCGATGGCCAGCAGCCTGGACGACCTGGCGCTGGCGTACCGCATCATGGCGACGCCGGCGCCCGCCGCCCAGGACCCGACCTCCTCCGCCTTCCCCCCGCCCCTATCAACCTTACCACCACCAACCCTGCCACCAACCCTGCCATCACCCCCCTCAACAACCCCCGCCCAAACCCCAAGAACAATCGGCCTCATCCCCGCGTGGCTAGACCGCGCCCACCCGACCGTCCGCACCGTCTTCAACCAAGCCCTCGCCCACCTCACCACCTCTCAAAAAACCAAAGACCTCGAAATCCCCTACCTCCCCGAAGGCCAACGCGCGCACGTCCTCACCATCATGGCCGAGATCGCGTCCGGCCTGCACCCGGCGCAGATCAGCCAGCTCACGGCGCCGAACAAGGTCCTCGTCTCCATGGGCATGTACCAGATCACGGGCCAGGATTTCCTGGCCGCCCAGCGCCTCCGCCACTGCCTCATGGCGCACCTGGCGCACCTGTTCCGGCAGCATCCGGGGCTGATCATCTGCTCGCCCACCACCCCGATCCCCGGGTGGCGGATCCACGGCCCCGCGGATCTGACCCGCGGCCTGTCCGATGGCGCCGCCTCCGTCCGGAATATGGAGTATGTCTGGTTGGCCAACTTCACCGGGTGTCCGGCGATTTCGTGTCCGGTTGGGTGGGTGGATGCTGAGGGAGGTGGAGGAAAGGTCCCGGTCGGGCTGATGGCCATGGCGGAGTGGGGGAAGGAGGAGGAGTTGATTGCTTTTGCGAGGGAGTTGGAGGGGGCGTTGGAGGCTGCTGCTGATGGGGAAGGACAAGGAGGGATCCAAGTTCCTAGTGGGGAGGGGGCGTTGTGGGAGGATATCATCGAGTTGGCCAAAAAGGCATGTTCCGATTGATACCGAACAGAAAAGAAAGATGACAAGACATGTGCATGAATTGTCAACTAAAAAGTCTTGACTGTGCGATCTTTTGTGGTTGTGATTATGCGGAGGGTTTCTGCAGGTCAAAGGAACTACGTTTCGGTGCTGATAATACCTCATGTGAGGCGAGGATATAATAACGGCATTGAGCCCGTGTAGTGCAATTAAGTCTGATGTATCGACAAAATACTGCGTGAGAGGAAACGACCAAGGAATAACAATAGCTGCCAGCAGCGATGGGACGGACAATGCAGAGGGCAGACACTCAAAGAAACGCGTAGACCACGAATAAAATAACGTCCTAGCAAATGTGGGTATTCAAGAACTCTATGCAGTATTAAGAATAAAACAACGCAGGCTCACTGCCTTTCTTCTCGGGGCAGCTGAATTGAAAGCCTCGATTAGCCTCAGAAGCACATCACTTATGACACCCCCTGCTGACCAGACATCTAGACATAACCCCATGTAAGGATAGAATGGTCATAATACAGCCAAACTAGATGCAGATGCTCTCCCCCCGGTCAGGCACACGGAATTCACACCCCAGCCCGGCCGATTTCCCCTGAGCTTGGAGTTCATGAAGAATGCGTTCCGCTGCAGGGGGGCCGTCGGTCAGATGATCCTTGATATGGATAACATAGACCCTCAATCCAGCCAGGGGCGGCTCCGGCCAGGTGTGTGTTGTGAGAGGATCCGAACTCTCGGCGAGTTGTGTATTAATCCCAACATCAGTCGCGGGTTGCGAGACGGCTGGGCTTCCTCCTTCTAGCTTCTCATCGGGCTCCTCGAACGATGCCTTGGCACGGGTGTGGCGACGGGTGCTTCGGTTGGATCCTCGACGACTCGAAGATTGACCCTTCTCTCCCGTGAGAGCCAACCTCTTCGATTTGGGGCTAAGGGGTACATCTGTGCCCACATCGGGAGCGGAGGCACGTTTGCGTTTCTTGGTTGCATTGGATTCCGGGAATTTGATCTCCTTGACAATGCTCGCAAGCGCAGTCAACTCGGTGATTAGATGTCGTGGACAAAGATGTCCGTAGAGATAGTCGTCCTCAACGTCATCGTTGTAAGAACACTCGATAAAGATCGCGCGCAGCTGCCCACTAGCGATTTTCGGTGCCGCTACTTCCCAGACGCGCTTGTTGCGCGGGTTCCGGGAGATCGAGTCAGGTTCAACATCACCAAAAATCATCACTTCTCGTTTTGCGACCGGACAGCGTATGAAGAAGACAGAGCTTTCGACTGTGGTCCATTTTTCTTTCCCAGGACCCCGAAGACCAGGCGAGTCCACGGGAGAATAATACCTGACTTCAAGTTAGCACCACTCGATGCGCGAACCAGTGAAAGTCTACATCTAAGCTTACCCCGTGTCTAGCTCATCTGTAGAAAATGAAAACCCCCCAGGACTGATCTTCATCGGACCCGGGCCATAGGCTGCGCTGCTCAGCCGATGGTGGACGTCGTTCTCGGTAGGAGGATGCAGTCTGCAGCTTCCATGGCTAACACCAAAGCACTTCGCCACCAATCCCTCACACACTCGTTTGTATCCCCTCTCATCACCAATTCCCAGCATTGCTTCGCCTCCCTCGCGTAGGCGCTGATAAGTAACCAGTCCAGCGCCCCCCTCCTCATCTGACAGATTAGGCCAGATCACATCATTGAATACGTGGGTCTTGATGGCAGTGACCACGGATGGCAGAGCAGCAATTGTCTTCGCGCCATTTCCAGCTTCCAAGGCTGGCGTATTGATTGCAAACGCTGACAGATGGTCCAGGTGGGGATGTGTGATAAGAATGGCACCAATAACGTGGCGGAAGAAATGCGCTGCGTTCGCAGGAGCATTGTTAAAAGGCAGGTCGAGGCCGCTGAATGGCCCGCCATCCAGGACAGCTTGTTGGTTGTCGAACTGCTCGAGAATGTTGATGACTCCGCAGAGAAGGGTCCCTGCATCCACTGCGATTACCGAGTTTGCTGACCATCTACTCGACGTCGAGCGAACCAGTAAGCCTGTGACCCGATCTTCGCGTGGACCTCCCGTTGGGCCCTTTCATCCAAGTGTTAGTCACGAATTCTTGCATGCAGGCGAACACCCCGTGGAACTTCAGAGAGAATCTACACCATGAGAGCTACACAGATGCAGCGAGACGGTGCCAAGACGCATAGCGAGAGTGGAGCAAGTCCAGAGGATTGAAGCCGGCAGGTCTCAGCACAGCATATCAAACTGCAAAACAGGCCATATAGATCGATTGGGAGGAACAGGGTATGAGACATACAAACGCAAGTGGCAGCTAACTTACCAAGACAACTACTTGCAACCCCGAGGTTCCTCCTTCACTGCCCGAAGGCGTTTGTTCACCATCGCGTTCCCCAACTTGCTGCATGTTCCGGGCCATATCTGATGGGATCATCTTGTGAGCACAGAAAAGCAACGAAGGTCACGTAACGCAGGCTTTCAACTCACACTTCTCCAGTTCCTATTCGACTGGTTTCTTCGCCCCCTCCAAATGCCCAGACTCCTGCACGGAAACACGCCCTAATGGGAGTTATGACGCTGGTGGTTGCGGCCTACGCGTTAGTCTCTGCTGGAGTCAAATCTACGTCCAAAGCGTACTCTGGCAATTCGAAAAATATCTTGGCCTGTAGAGCTTCAATAAAATGAAGATAGATCCAGTGAGGAGCGCGTGATGTGACCGTAGACTCTCCGCGACGGAGCGGCTGGTCGCAGAATGGTTGGGTAGGGTACAAGAAGCGCCGCCCTTCTTGATTTGACCTTCCGGCGGTTGTCGCGAGCAGGTCAAAGGTTCCTTGCTCGAAGCCGTGTCACCAGGACAAGAAAACGGAGGAAAGAAATGGCAGACCCAACTGGTTGTCCTCCTCCAGTTAGGGTGACAGCCAGCGAGAGATTTGAAAGGGTCCCGGCGGTGTTACCCCACGAATCTGGGGCACAGCTCTGTCACACCCAGTAATTTACCCGTGCAGTTAGGTGAGCGCACCCCAATGGTTGGGAGCAAGACGCTAATGCACACCCTAAGGGCCCCAATGATTTGGTGGCTGACAGGTGCGTGGAGGAGCGTTGGCGATTAAAAAGCCTTGCAAAGTAGTGTCTTGGAAGTCGGGCACTGTATCAGGGAGGCCGCCGGGGGACGGAGACACGAGAGAAGCAGAAGTAGAGTTGCGATACATGCGTATGACAGGGTCGATCACTTGTTAGATATCGAGTGGTGGAATTAAGAGAGGAAGAGACGAGGACCTGTGGGGAGGGGGATTTACGGATCGAGCACCCGATGACGCCGACGATAACTGCGCAGCTGGACGACGAGTTCGCAATGCGCCCCTCGGTTGGAGCGCGAACTTGGACCAGTGATTGTCCTCTCGTGTCAAGCGAAGCGACGCGATCAAGAGTTCAAGAGATTAGCGGAAAGAAAAGGTAGTAGGAGGGATTGAGTTGTTGTTGGAGGAAAGGTTGAGGTAAAAAAAAAAGGAAGTAGGTACAGGCTGGCTGGCGGGCAATGACGAGAGAGGATAAGTTGATAGTATGAGTAAGTTAGTTGGCCTCCACCGCTCTTATTTCCTTTCACGCTCTATGAAACACAGCGGAAGGAAAGGTCGAACCAACAGATATAACAATCTGGAAAGAAAAGAAGAGAAATAATAGCCTCAAAGTTAAAAAGAGAGGGGGGGAAAAGAAACGAAAAAGGAAAAGAGTTCTGAGAGAAAGAGTGATTTCCACCCGGGGCTGGGTTGATTCAAAGTTCGATGGGCGGAGCAGTTAGTTATGGAGCAGTACTTCGATTCTAGATTCTAGACCCCATTCATTAGTTTAACCTACCTTACGAACCATACTCACGGTCTACAATATCCTCCTGTAGGTATCTCCGTCAGTCAATTCATTTACCCCAGATTGCTCATACACTTTGCTGATTCAATCCTCACCGTGTCATTGACTTGACACGTCTGACCATTGAGGTGAACCTCCTTGCAGCGAGGATTTGACACTATCAAACTCAGCGGCCGGCGCATGCTTTTCCACTCTCAACAATCTCAGTCCGGCCCTCGCTTCGTCCCAAACATCAAGGATGTTCTTCTCAGGTGAAGCTCTGGTCCAGCTGTGGATCCAAAGCCAAGAGACTCCCCGATAGCATGGGATGTGGCTAATGGTTTCAAGATTCATGATCCATCCAAGCGCTTAGGTCGTTTGCTACGAAGAACCCACGTGCGAGCTTAGAAACCCCGGCGACAGGCTAAGGCATGCCTTATAAAAGAGCATCCCAGTGCTCAATAATAGCATCAGGTGAATGATAAATTTTTGTACCGTTCAGACACCAGTAAGTAAAAAAGAAAAAAAAAAAAAAAAAAAAAAAAAAAAAAAAATGCACAACCAGGTAAAAACCCTACCAATGACGCTTTGGACACGCTGTAAGTCCGACCGGAAAAGAGGTCGTCGTACGCCGCGCAGAAACGGAA